TAGTGGCCATAAGGTTGATCCCCAACTCACAGCTGTCACACACAATGGATCAAAACACCGCATCCCAGATGACCCAAGGAGTGATTGATCATTGCGATCCACAGAGGTCTACTGACTGATTTTTTAACAACACGCCATCAAGCTTTTCTTCCTGGTTTCTTTTCCTCTAGAAGCTCCTTTGAACTCTGCTCAACATCACAGCCATACAGAGACCTCCACGAGGGATGAATGACGACCACATAGTAGTGTACTGTCCAGAAATTGAACCCAGGTCTCTGGCATGGAAGGTGAGAATTCTGCCACTGAACCATCCTTCCATATCATCCTCTTTCTGCATCTCAACTACTCCTTCTGCTTCTGCTCTTGCCTCTCCACCATAACAACCCGCATAACTAATTGATAAACTAGACAATGTTTAAACTTCCCAGTGGCTTTCACTGCCATTTACTCTAAAACCTACACTCCTTATCATGGACTGAAAGCTGCACCCCAGGTCCTGCCTACCAATCCAGCCTCCTCGCCTACCTCCTCGCCACCTGGAAAACATAATGCTCTTGTTCTTGAACTGACCAGCATTATTCTCACATAAGGACCTTCACCTTGGCTGTTTCTCCTGTCTGGAATTCTCTATCCTCAACTCTTTGAATGAGACTGGATGACTCCCTTGTCACTAGCTCTAATGTTTTCTCCGAAAAGAGCACTCCCTGACCATCTTATCTGAGGTCAGCTGCCTTCCCAGCCCCTGGAGTTCCGCCTATCATTTCACCTCTCAGGATCACAAGTTGTTTGTTTGCTGTGTATTATCTAACACCTCCCACAACAGAACATGAGCTCCTTGAGAACAGGGACTGGGTCTTGTTCACAGCTCCACTCATAGCACCTAAAAAAGTACCTGGCACATCAACCAAACCATCTGTAGCTGAGTCAACACCATCTCACTCAGGAAGACTTATTTAGGATAGACTCTTTGAGACTATCAAAAGACTGTGAAGCTGCTTGTCACTGGAGCAGAAAATGCACAGCACTTGACGTCATTTCTCTCACTCTCTGTACCACTAGAGGCCAGTTGTTGTAATTGCTGTGTCAGAACATTTGAGTCAGAACTAACTCATAGCTCTCCAGCGGGCTTTCAGAGGCAGGCAACTGCACGGGAAAACATTGCCCATCATCTCTGTAGAGCAGTTGGTGGATTCCAATCATCTGTTATTTTGGTTTGAGGTGCAACTCCTTACCACCAAGCCACCAGAGTTCCCTAGAAGGACCAGGGGACACTCAAGTTCGGTCTTCAGTGGCTGAGAATTACTGAGTTATTAAATTTCTAACAAATTTCATTTGGTCTTTCTACATAAACAAATCCTCTCAAGAGAGTAATCACATCCTATATATTTTATTAAAGGTTACAGAATAGAAATCTTAAATCAGGATAATTTTGAGTGCAATTTTAATTGATCTCCTTTCCAAATACAAAGAACACAAAACTACAGGGAAAGAAAGGTAAACAGTAAAGAAATAAATGGCTGTAAATGAATTTTAGAAGACTGTAGAATTCACCACTGAGGGTGGGGGTGGCAAGAAGAACACAACAGAAAGAAAAGGCCAAACAACAAATAGTCTGTGAAAAACAGCAAAGTAAATGGAAAGGGACTCAGAAAACTCAGAGGAAAGTTTCCTCTGAATAGGATTTAATGCAGCATCCAGAAGAAAACTATACTTATTTTTTTAAAAAAGTTTGGTCCTCATGATAGTTTGAGCTCTGGAGGCCTAGTCTGTAGGGAGTTGTGCTGCTAACCCAAAGGCAGCAGGTTTGAATCCACTAGTGACCCTTAAGGAGCAAAACAGGCAATGTCCTCGCCATGAGATTACAGCCTCAGAAAACCCACTCTGCTGTGAGTCGTTCTGACTAGACAGCAATGACTTTTGAGATTCAAGATAGAGAAAAGGAGGATGGTTTAGGAAAGAAAAGCAATCAAAGAGGGGGAAATGACAAAGAAAACAAAAGCAAAAGCTTCTGCGGTAAGATCAAAGAACACACTTCTCTAACCTGTGTCCTTGGGAAAAGCCCAACTTCCCAGGTTGTTCACACTCATGCCTTGAGGCTTTCTTAACAATGAAAAAAACATATGTAGGGAAGAGGTTATCTGTAAGACTGGCTCCCTTAAATGCAGTTCAATGAATACATCTCACATTTTTTTTTTCTTGCGTTAGGAAAAGGTGGTTGATTGCATCTTCCCTGTGCTCAGGCATCCCTTATGATCCGACATTTAAATTGGTTATCATTCTTGTTGAATATGTTCCCATTCATTCAATCCTGTCTACCTCTCAAGCCCATCAAAAGGTACCTCCTCCATGAAGTTCAGGGGGAATTTGCCTGCCTCTCTCACTAAAACATGGTAACATTTGACAATGTTCTGTCTTATTAGACAGTAAGGGGCTGATGAAACACTATAATTAATTACACTAATCAACTGTAGGTAGCTCTGATGGTCTTGTGGTAAGGAACTACATTGTGAACTCTATGGCAGGCAGTTCAAATCCACTAGGAAGAAAAACAGTGATTTACATGTGATTTACAGCCTCTGAAAACCCATTAGAAGGTCTGTTACAATCAGTTCTGACTTGATGGCACACAACGATAACAACAATAAATTTTAATTAGTGTTATGAAACAAAATGTATATAAATGAAAGGCACATATGAATGAAACACAATGTCTACAAATTATGTATATAAACCAATAAAAAATTAAAAAAAAAATCAATAACAATGGAACAAAACCCCAGTATGATTTATAAACACAAAGACACAGTAAAGAAACACATAAAGTTGCTTATACAAATAAAGCTACAGTGGGTGGGGTGAGGGAAATTGAAAGAATAAGTTCTTAAAAAATCCACCACATAGTCAAGACAGCATGGTACTGGTACAATGACAAACACATAGATCAATGGAATAGAAGTGAGAACCCGGAAATCAGCCCATCTATTTATGGGCAATTGATTTTTGACA